AGGAAGAGGAATGCTGTCTTGGTGAATGGTGTCATTCTGAATGGCCCAATAACAGATTCAAAAGCAGGAGAAAAATTTGTAGAAGATGCCTGTAAGATCATAATGGAGGAGGTCATACAGAAAGCTGCTGATGTAACAGAGAAGGTAAAGCCTTGGAATCAGCTTGAAAATATATTGTAATAGATATGAGTGATTAAAAACTTTAGCTTTCCAAGACAGCTGAGTTTTATAGCACATAAATGGCATTGAACTTGCTTTTAGTTTGTGGTTAGGTTTTGAAATAAAATATAGCTGTCTGGATTTAAAAATGTGGCATCATGAAACCTTTTAATAGCATAATTAAATTAAAATATACATTTGCAAGAAAATGTTTCCTACATTACTTTGAAATGCCAATTTTTTTTTTTTTTTTTTTTTTTTTTTGTCTTGGGGTCAAATTTACCCTTGAGTTTGCTGAGCCTGCAGGAGCATTTGTGTTAGAGGCGGATTCACCCTGAGGAAGGGTGGCTATGGTACCACTGGAGGAGGGCAGCATTATAGACTTGTCTGGGTTCCATAGTGCCCTTATTTGCAGAGGGTATTTGAGAGAGGTGCTGGACAGGTAGGCCTTGCCCATTTGTGGGCTGCATGAGCCAGCTCCATGCCCCTGGCATAACAGCATTTGAAGACACTGGGATTTCATGGGGGTTGCTGAAGGCAGAATTTGGTCTACAGGTTTATTACGCCTAATAAAGATATACAAAGCAGAAGCAACTCATCTTGGTTTCCAGATTCCAGGTTGAGTTTGCAGCTCCAGCAGTTAAAAGCAAAAAGATTATTTTTCTAACCAGAACAAGTTTGAGCCGGGAGTCCCTGAGACACAATAAAAATAGGATCCCATGAGGCCATTTTTATAGAGTTGCTGTTAAGTGCAATTTTCTTACTTTGGAAACCATTACATTACAGAATCCGTTGGTGAGTGAGGTTATATTACCATAACATTTGTCTTCACCTCAGCCAACATGTATTCATTGCTGGCATTTCCCCCATCATTAGGTTTGTGAATGGCACCCTCCAGAAAAACTGAAAAAACTTCTCGATCTGGAAATGAGGGATACCGGAGAGCCCCATCAGAGACTCTTGCAACTTTGCCAGGACATTATTCGATACAGCGTCAAAACTAGTAGGAATTTGAGTTCTAATTGTGTTACCTTATTACCCTCAAAAACTCTGAAGTCAGGGTATTTTCTCCTAAACTTTGTTACCCTTCAGGAAACAAGGTGACGTTTTGCTATGTCAACATTTTCTGCGTGCCTGTAACCATATGAAAGCATATGAATGCTTTCATTGGCTGTTCTATAGCTGTTTGAGTAAATGCTGGCATAAGTAATTCTTCTCTCCTTCATATCTAGTCCTTATTGTAAAATGAGAGTATCATACCTGCCAAGCCACCTGGATCCTCACAGTGATCAGATGGATTTCTGAGAGGGACTAAAATCTGTATGATGACATTAAAAAACCCTGCGAGGGATTACCATTGATGTTAATGGGAGACTCTGCTATTCTAAAGTCTCCTGAAAGACGCCTTTGGCCTCTAGACAGGTATGGAATATGATATAACAATTTACCAAATCAGGCAGGAGAAAGACCTTTATGAATCCCCAAGACCTTTGCATAGGACTTCCTGCTGTCTGGTTGGTGAGTAGTGATGTCATAGTCACTGCCATTTAATGCAAATAAGGCAAGGTTAAGTCAGCCTGTTGGTCAAGAATGGCACTGCGTTTACTTTTAACGTATAGCAAACAGTCTGTTTGCAAAAGGAAAGTCAAAACCTTAATGCATGCTTTAAATCACTTTTTAAATGTAATCAGGTGACTAAGTGAGGTATATACTGGCTTTTTTCACAAGTGGATACAAATTTCACCTGGAGGATAATCCTGCTACGTGCTGAGTATCCCCTTGTAAAATGCTGGTCAGCCATAATTCCTGCTCAAGACAATGGGGGATGAGTGCTCAGCATCTCAGAAAAGGCACCCAGCACCTTGCAGGATTGACCCCACGTAGGTAACCTTGATGAAAAGCATTCTGTATAACCAAATATCAACAGAAAGAAATGAGTAACATCTGTTTAGGAAATAGGGTGGTGTATCAAAAGCCTAGTTAGAATTTCAGAAGCATAGCTACATATCCTATACTCAGTGTATTTCAGAAGGTGTGAAGGACATTTGATATAAATTACCGGGTATGTTTCCTGCTAAAGATGCTGTTGCTACAGAATAAAAAAATAATTGAGAGTGAGCATATGTTTTTGAAGAACACAGAAATTAGCAGTGCTTATCTGAAGAGTCCCATGCAATATTAATATGCAGATGTCTTTACAATGTCAGTGGAATATATTATCTTCATTTTGTAATTTTTCTTTACATTTTCATTTGTTGCACTGTGCCACCTTAGAAAATGAATTAAATACAAAAGCAAGATGCACAAACAATGTTACCCTAACTATAAAAGCTAGCAAAAGCTTCAGATTTAAGGCTTCTAGTCTGTCATGAATTCACCCTGTTTTATAATACCTAGTTACAATGTGGCGAACTGTAGTCCAGATGGTAGCAGACCCTGAACTGAATTGATTTTATGATGAAAACTTTTAGATTACTTTAACATAATTTCTCATTATTGTTATTTATTTAATAGTGCAGCACCCCCAAATGGTGCCACTTAAATTAAGGTAATAAGGTAAAAGACGGTTTCTCTTTTTCTCTATATCTCAGAAATTCTGGTAAAAGAAAGAAACACAATTTTAAAAAAGAAACATTTAGAAAAGTGTTTCCAGAGAGGTTGGCTCTTTAAAATAATTTAACAGGGAAATTAAAAAACACAAAACTTCCTCTCAGGTTGGCAGGGAGGGATATGAAAGAAGAACACTGATGGGATAGATGAAAATTATCTATAATATCATTCCATTTGTGTCCAAACCCTTCTTGCAGTACTCACATGAATAATCCAACTCACACAAGTAGTCTCACTGCAGTATGAGAAATGACCAAGGGGGATTGGTCGATCAGATCTTAAATAAGTAAAGTTGAGTGCAGGGTTAAAATGGAAAGTGAAATTAAGGAAGCCAAATGTAGAGTGCAGAGTCAGACTGCCCTCAACTCCTGCCTCGCAAGATGAGGCTGTATGTGTAAATTCTAGAACTGGTGATTTTTTTCTCAGCAGAAAATATAAATGAAAATGAGAAAAATTGTTTTTGTTAAAATTTTCAGTGGAAAAAAAATTTTTTTTGGGGGGGGGGTCAAAACTGAAAGCTGATTTACACCCCCCCCCCCCACAAAAAGCTTTCAGTTTTCCAATTAAAAAAATGAAAATGTTTGAGGGGAAAAAACTGGTACTTTCTGTGAAAGTTTTTGTTTAAACTAAACCAAACTTTCCTTCAAAAGTTTCAGCAGGAAGTTTTCAAACAGCCTTAATAAATTCCCCCCTGTGAAGAAGGCCAGCAGGAGGCATATGTGCTATTTAAGTCCCACTTACACTTTGTTTGAGCACAGTTATGAATTTCACCCTTTGTGAGAAGTTTGGCCAATCTGGGGAAAGAAGAGAGAGTCTCAGGGACACTAAAGGGATAATAAAGTAAAATGCTGCTGTTTGGCCATGTAGTATGTTTCAATCTATATACCTGCATCCTGTAGTCATGCAGTAGAGATGCTGTTGTGTTTATTTTCACTTGTGAAGTATACTGGAGTACTTATGTTTCATTTTTAAATCTGCAGATCATCCAAGATTTTTCAATCAGTTGTATGCTGGTATTGATTATTACTCTTTAGTGGCTCGTTTCATTACAGAAGCATTAAACCCAAGTGTGTAAGTGTACCTTTTTTGTACTCATTGAAATGACCCTGGAACACTATTATAACATTCCAGATTTTTTTAAAATTATGAATACCCGCTTCAGGTTTCTGTTTACATTAACACAGAGGACTTTTAGCAGGAACCTGGGGATAACAACAGAGTTTGGTTCTGCATCGCATAACCATATACTTCAACTTGGCTAAGCTGTTGGAGCCTTTTTCAGTCTGTGAGTCTTAATTTAAGAGTAAAGATCCTCCACTTTTGTTTGTCATACCTTTTACCTGTAAATTTATTCTTACTTAGGGGATCTAGATATGCTATTTAGATATGCTTTTAAAAACAAACTTATTCAGATAAAGGCTGTCCTCTCAATGAGCAGGACTTTGATCTCACTTCCACCAATGTAAATCCAAGGTAACTTCAGTGGTGTTATTTGGGATTTATGCCATTATAATGGAGATCAAATTTGCTCCCGGGTGTTCAAGGTGCGGCTAGTACAAATTTTATTTTTTGTTTTCATTGTGTTTGGTATGAAGTGTTAAATTGATCCATTTTTCTTTTTTGTCCATGGCATCCCAAAGTTATATGCCCTTAAATAAACTTTTCCCATTTTGGGACTGGCATTTTAAAGTTGATCCAAAGTTAGGACTGATATTAGCTGAACTGTCGTAAGCATGCCCAATGGAGTCCTTCAGCCACCTTCTGTATTTGCTCCACATAGTATTAAGTATGGGCACCACAATGAATTTGCACAAATGTTGCATATGTATATGTGCAAGCAATACGGGGAAGATAGAACTGAAGTCTAGGGTCCAAGTACGATTGCTTCAGATAGGGAGAGCCTTTAGTGTTTTGGGTGTCAAACTACAGAAGCAACAGGAGCTCATACGGTTCAGCACCCACAAAAATTTGTCTAGTTACATTCATGGATGTTATGTTTTCCATACACGTTTTCAATCTGAGTGACTTCTGTTTTTGATGACGAGAACAACACACTAAAAAAGCACAAAAGTAAAGTCTCCATGAGAGAGCACAGCGTGTGTATCTCCTCTGAAACAGTCTGCACTGAACTGAACACAAATGGCTTCCTGATTGGGCAGGCAGATGTAAAGGTGTAATAAACAAAAGAATAACTTACATAAAATGGGTAATTTTCCCCAGTAGCGTATGGTTTTATTAGCTGTTATTCACTTAATCTGAGTCACATGACTGAAATCCCTATGCATTGCTTTGAAAATGTAAAGGTCAGTGTTATGATGCTGTTAGGAACAGAGTAAATTGCCATACTGGATTAGACCTTTGGTGTATTGAAATCCAGCACCAGTTGCTTCAGAGGAAGGTGCAAGAAATCACACGGTAGATTGATGTGGGATAAACTGCCACGGAGGGAAGTTTCCTCCTAACCCCTAATAGTTAGAGATTAGCTTAAACCCAGAAGCATGCGATTTTATCTTCCTCCCAAATCTATTTTTATCATTAACATTATAAACTCTGGATATTCTTGTTATCCATATAACTCTCCAGTCCCTCTTTGAATCTTGCTAAATTCTTAGTCTCTATGATGTCCTGTGACCAGGAGTTCTGCAGTCTATTGCCAATAATGATACTTTTATATTTATTCAGATATACATATGAGGTGTCCCCCGTGTTTTTGTTAGTGGAAGAAGCAGTCCTGAAGAGAATGATTGAATTCATAGGCTGGAAAGAAGGTGATGGCATATTTAATCCAGGTAAGAAAACAGCCTTCCATCTTCTGAATTTCAAACTAACCTATAGAAACTGCAGAGAGCTACAGATTAAGAATTTTGTGATTTATTTAACTCGTATCGTGTACTCCAAAAAGCATACAAAATCAGATGACGTAAGGACTTTTAGCTTTAATAAAGTTATTTTACCCAAGCTTCTAGACCACCATAATAAAAATTCTATGAATCTGTATAGTCACATGAAACGAAAGCAGCTGTAGGGCTCAATTAATAAAAAATTACTCAGAACGAATTCTAGAGCCCCTGGAATTGGAGCCCACCCAGTTCTCATTAATATCAATGGTAAGATCACCTTCAGTGACCTGAGTGGGCAGCAGTCTCAGGCTCCAGTTCTATGTCAGTATGAGCTAATCAACTCAGACTGAATTTGGAGTGAGACTGGGCCATTTAAAGTGGTCAGAGTTTCAGAGGCCCACAAGTGCTTTACAAAATACATTGAGCAGGAAGTCTCCAAGTAATGTATTAGCTGTTATGGGCCGCATTGTATAGTTTACATAGAGCCCAGTGCTGAGATGTGGGGTGAAGTTGTACTACCTCAGAGGGTGACTGTGTCTCTGGAGCATGTAGGAGGGGTGCATATATGGCACCACCCTGCAGTGCTCCCTTCTGTACTGCTGGCCAGCTCCACTGACTGCTACGAAGGGGACAGCCTTTGAGCTGGTTGTCAGTCCCTAGCACAGGGCTGTGATTGTGCCTGTCCCTTGTGCAAGATGCCTGACCCAGTATTTTACAATGCACCCCTGTATTTTACATCTTTGTATCAGTGTGTATCGTGTACAACTCGTGCTCATCCAGCACATTTCCCGAAGGCCATTCCTGGTTACTCTTCTCTTCTGCCAGCATCTTTGTAACTATCTGAATGAAAGCCAGTCAATGGTGTGACAGGGTACTCCTCTGTGTACACTGCCTACATTTTGGGTGTCAATGTTTATCTTAGTAGGAGTGACTTGAGCAAGCTCCTTTTGGTGTGATACTGTTTTGAAATGATATGAGCAGGTAGACCATGAAATATTTCTGGTTAAATTTTTTTTAAAGGCTACATTTTAATACTTTTTTTGTTTTGTTTAAAAAGTAGCAATATTGTCAATATATTTCAGCTACAGGTGCATGGGGAAAATGGAATGTAACAATTTATCCCCAAGTCTTTCTGTACCGAATTATTAGCATCAAGATACCAAGCTGTAAGATTCTCCAACCTGCTTCCTGTGAAAAAGAAGCAAATGTTAAAATATAGTTAGTGGAGGGGATGAGAAATAGTTAATGTATCCCACCAATAAGTGGTAGAAAAGTAAATTAACCATAATTAAAGACATTGGAAATTTGTGGGAAATTATACCAAATTTGTGGATTTTTTTTTTGTCCTAGATTCTGTGCATAGTTTTAGAAAAACCTCTGGCATGTTCTGCAGATTTTTTTTAAAGCAAATTTACTAAAAATATATCAGAGGACACTTAAAGGATTCTTTAGTACATTAACTGTATCTTTATTTTCTAGCTTCCATAAAACTGAATTTTTATATAAGCCAATCTTGCCTCAAAAAAATCCCATCTGTCTCCTTGAGCTCTTCCATTTCCCTTCCAGATCTTCTCCCAGAGATCTTCTATTTCTTCCAGTTCCTCCTAATTGTCTCTTCCCCCTTTTCCTTTCCAATGGATTGAGACATGGTTGCCTGAGGGGCCATCTCTCTCTCCGTGGTGTACTGCCACAATTGAGATCAGCAGAGGCCCAGGAGCTCCCACAATGTATACAAGAAGGAACTGGTGGCTGGGCATTCTCTATGAGAACTTCTTGGTGTCCGGAATCATTCCCCTGCCATTTGGTCCACTACAGCCCAGATCTGTTAACCTTCCAAGCAAGCAGCAAAGCCTCCTTTTCTTCTCTCATCTCTCAGGCTGTTGAGTAAGGACTGGGCTATGATGGATATATTTACAGGCTAGTTTTGTGGTTTTAATTTATGGGCTAGGCACCCACAGCACAAGATGAGTGCCAAGAGTTACTTGTTAGTTTGAATTTCTAAAATATAATAAATGAATATGTTGCTTTGTGTTTTTTTGTTTGTTTTTTACAGGTGGCTCTGTTTCTAATATGTATGCTATGAACTTAGCTAGGTATAAATATTGTCCTGACATAAAGGAAAAGGGGCTTTCAGGGCTGCCAAGACTGGTCCTCTTTACATCAGAAGAGGTAACGAAATTGCACCCATCTTCATTATAGACTTTTTATTAATTAACTTTTTTTCTTTTGCATATGCTGTACATTTCCATTGTGTGTCTAATGCTGTTCCAAGCATAATAAAAGGGTTGTCATTATACAGTGGGAAACATGGTGTGTGGAGATGGCTGGTGGTGAATTCCCCCTGCACAGAGAAACTCTCCATCTCCTGCCAATCTCTGGTGTTGGGAAAAGGAGAGGTTGTGGTGAAACAGAGCTCCTCTGTCTGATTTCCCACTGACATAAGGTCTAGCAGGAACATACCTCGGTAGTGTAAGTTAAAGCTGCTATCCTGCAGCTTCAGCTTACGCTGGGGCCAGGCAATCAATAGTCAGAAAGCTACAAATGGCTGTCTGCAGCCCCCCTTCTCCACTGGCTCTGAGCACAGCTTGACTGCAGTGGAGAATCAAATCCAACAAAGAGAATCCCGGCAAAACCTTTCACTGAAGCTCTCTAAACAACGCTGCTTTAATAACCTACTTCAAAGAATCTAAAAACGTCTTCCTCTTTTAAAGCTTTCAAACACAACATATGCAAAACTCAGATGGGAGACTGTAGTAGGAGGGATGCCCACTGGCACTAATTCTCCTTCAGAGTTTTAGCCTTTAATTAGAGCCTCTTTTCTCCCACCTACATCTCTGCCCCTTGGGCTTTGTGACATCCACAACCCTTTAAACAAACTAGGTTAGGTATAGTTGTGTTTGAGATTAGATTGGCACAGGTGGTATTATTATTATTATTATTATTATTATTACTTCTGTTACAATAGCAGCTAGAAGCCCCAGTGGAGATCTGGGCCCCATTTTGCTTGGAAATATATACAAATACAGTAATAGTACAGTGCCTGCCCTTAAGTGCTTACAGCCCCCAAAAGCTTACAATCTAAATGGACAAGGCAAAGGCTTATCCCAGTTTTTCAAATGGGAACCTGGACACAGGAAGCTCACATGGCTTGCCCAAGATAAGAGAAAAATTCTGTGGCAGTGCCAGGGACTGAACCCAGCTGCCCTGAGTCCCTGTTTATTACCTTAACCAGAAGGCCATCCTTCCTCTCTCTCTTTGGTACCTACATACGCAGTACTTCTACCTGTGCCCGTAGCATTTGTTGTAATATCTTTAGTTATGTTAATTGGCATTGTACAGAAGTGCTAGAACATTTATCAGTTTAAGAGGGAGGAGACATCAATTTGTAGAGATCCTAATTTTTGGCCCATGTTTACCTCTGTTCCACCCAGATTTGGTATTATCTCACTTCTGTTTTTCAAAATAGTTTGCCTCAGATATGATTGATTATTGAGGTTATATGAAAAACTGCTTAAACTGAAGTTGATGCACTGTAATGCCAACTTTCTATTATTAATTATTTATTGTGTTTTGTTTATTTGTATTGAATAGTACCTAAAGGCCAGGGACCCGCTGTGATGGGCACTGTACAAACATACAAGAAAGAGATGGCCTCTGCCCTGCAGAGCTTACCATCTAAGTAGAGACAAGAAGTGGATAAGACAAACAGATGAGGGAGCACAGGGAGACAGTGAGCTGATACTGCTCAGTGGTCAGAGCATACTGACTGCTATACGTCCCTCGTTTTAAGACTTTAGTCTCAAAACCATGTCTTATATTTGAGCTTTAGCACTATAAGAGGTGGTCTGTTAGTGTTGCACAGCACTGGTGTTCTCAGGCAGGCACTCAGTGCCAATGTGGTACTGTTTTTCAGGAGGTGTTAGACTGAGGGCAGGTCTGTACTACCGTTTAAGTTGATCTAACTTACGTTGCTCAGGGGTGTGAGAAAAACACCTTCCCTCCCCCCACCCCCGCCCGAGTGACGCAGGTTACAGTGACCTAAGCGCTGTCTCCTGCCGACATAGCTTCTGCCTCTTGCAGAGGTGGAGTAATTATGTCTACGGGAGAGCGCTCTCCCATCAGCACAGAGTGTCTTCACCAGACTGCGCCGATGTAGCACTTCTAATATAGACCTGCTCTCAGACTTTAAGGCCAGAAGGGACCATCATGATCATCTAGTCTGACCTCCTGCACATTGCAGGGCACAGAACCTCACCCACCCACTCCTGTAATAGACCCCTAACCTCTAGCTGAGTTACTGAATTCCTCAAATCATGGTTTAAACACTTCAAGTTACAGAGAATTCACCATTTACACTAGTTTAAATCTGCAAGTGACCTGTGCTCCATGCTGCAGAGGAAGGCAAAAGCCCCCCAGGGTCTCTATCAATCTGCCTCGGGGGGAAATTCCTTCCCAACCCCAAATATGGTAATCAGTTAGACCCTGAGCATGTGGGCAAGGCCCACCAGCCAGACACCTGGGAAAAAATTCTCTGTAGTAACTCAGAGCCCTCCCCCGCTAGTGTCCCATCCGTTGATGATATTTGCTGCTAGCAGTCACAGGTTGGCTACATGCCATTGTAGGCAGTTTCTGCTCTTTTGCTGTAAGGTAAAGTAAGTTTAGATAACATGCACTCTAACTCAAGGAGATAGAAAATCCTGAGCTACTTGAAATAATGGTGGTTTATGGAGGAAACTGCACGTACCTTTGCTGGACAGTTCCTCAGTGACACTTGAAATAGCAGCAGCAGAAAAATTATTAGTGTCCTGCCTTCCTGAGTTTTAGCTGGTGTTTCTGAACCTGTGATACATAACTGAGTACAACTCAAGCTACAGTCATTAACCACATTTTTATCATTTTTCCTTTTCATTATATTTGAGTCTTATCTGATTTTGTTCGGGAATAAGAACATTATAGTGGGCCAGAAAGATGAGAATGTAGTGAAATTGAGACTAAGAGAAGAAAAGAAATGCATGAGAAATTGCAATGAATACTTTAATGCTGGTAGTTTTTTGTTGTGATGAAATGGAACCCCTCTGCAATGTGACTTGATCAGACCTGTAAACTAAGTATGAGAGTACAATATTAAGTATCCCCTCTGCTCTGCTACTGAGATTACAATAGACATAATGAGTAATAAAGCCATCTCATAACAACATAATTGCTTTATGTGCTCCAGTTTCCAGAAAACTTTTCAAAAACAAGAAAATATTATTTTTTATTCTATCTTCATATGTGCAGGACAAGGCTACATTGTGTTTGGCATTATAACAAAAAATACTAACTTGTTCATTCCCTAGTCAAAATAATCCCATATACTCTCCCCCCCACCCCATTTTAAATGTACTGGTATTCAGTTTGGTCTTGTGCTTTGAAAAGGTTTCTTTTTTCAACCTGAATTATTACAGATATTATATCTTCCTCAAAAGAAGATTGCAAAGAGCTTACTTAAAATAGGAACTCTAAGATTATAAATGGATCGACACTGTTGATTGACCGTAGTTTCTGTAAATACCTGTGCATCTTTTGCTAAAATGGTGCTATGTAACTTATTACATTAGTGTGTTTAGCAAATAATAAACAGTATATTTTGGAGCCAGTCTATTGTAGACTGTTTTTTTCTTTTAGTCCAGTGATGGAAGCCCTCCAAAGCTATGCTTTAGCACAACTCTTATCCTCTTTACAATGATAGCTTCTGGCCATACACTTACGGCCTGTTTCTGCTCCCATTGAAATCCAAGGCACAACTCCTATTTCAGTGGGAGCAGATTGGACTCTTAAAAGTCCATAAATGACACATCTACATGTTGTTTTCCTTAGGGATTCAGTCAGTTCCCATTTTTTTTTTTGTTTCTCAGTATCTCAAATGCTGAAGCTGCACTTATGTTCTTGCCCCTGTCCACATTTCATAATAAGATCTACGATTTGGTGATCTGCTTTTATCTACCAACTTCTAGATTTTGCAGATCCATTGCTTTCTGGAGCAATTTGATTATTCCCAGTGACTCAGTGTCATGCTTTTCATTTGAACATAGTGGTAAAAGTCAGTGGTATAAACTAGCTTTTTTGTTTGTTTGTTTCATTGCAGCTATTAATTATTTATTTAATCATTCAGAAGTCATTTGAAACTCTCTGTTGCTGGAGTCCGAATCTCTCATGAACAAAAAAACATTGCAGCTCTATAATATATTACCAATTAGTGATGTAATTTGATGTAACACAAGATTAATTATCCACCTATGTATACTATTATTCTTGCAATAGTCTAAATGAATGAGTCCTAAAGGTTTTGTGAATGTGTCATGTTAGAAAATTAAACAGTTTTAAGATTGACTGACTGATATTAGCTGTTAGTATTTTGTGTGCATTTAGTTGAAAGGAAAAAAATCTTCCTGTTTTTAAAAAAAGAAAAAAGAAAAAGAAAACCCTTTGAGATGATCCATCTCATCAAAATAAGCGTGACAGGCTTGAACACCCTTAATATATTCATACCCACACATTAAAGTGCTGTACATTTTTCATAATTATGTTCCTCTGTAACTGCTTTTGTGTGAACCCTCTGGAAGAAAATGGAATTAATCACCTGGCTTCACCTCCTGTACGATGAGAAACAATTCTAGACATCTTCAGGGTTGTTGGAATGTATGTTATTTTAACCCCTAAAATAATAACCTGAAGGATTTGCTTCTATTTTCCAACAAGAGCAATTTTAAAATACCCATTCAGATTTAGGGCAAGCTTAATCCTGCAAGGTGTTGAGAGCTCGTGTGAGATGCTAAGGGTGCATCAGGATCTACTAGCTCCTATGGGAGATGAATGCATTTAGCATCTTGCAGGTGCTTCTCAGTATCTTGCAGGATGGAATCATAAAGGCTTGTCTAAACTTGAAAGTTAATTTGGATTAAGGCAGGGTGTGAATTTAAAGTGCAATAGCTAACTGTGACCATGAACGAAGATAAACCAGAACAAGGTATTCTTATTTTGGAGTAAGTGTCTTCACCTGGAGTTACTTCAGAATAACTCCATGAGTAGTGAAGCCGTAGGTCACAAAGATGAAATTTAGAAATATGGTAAAATATGAAACTCTGAATCTTTGCATTAAACAGAAGAAAAACTACAATGCAGAGATTGTTGACTTGATTCTTATTCACACTAAAGCCACTTTCCACCACTCTCATAATGTAAACACCCACTTTAAGGCCCCTTCACCCTGCTAGAGTGATGTAAAGTGGACTAGTATATGTTTACTTCTACTTTTAAGGCCCCTTTGAGCTGTATACAGTGTCTTTAGTATAAATGAGAAGCAGGTTTTGTGTGTGCACACTTGTGTGAAGATATTGTTATGGTATCTTTTTATCAGTATCTTAAATGTGGACCACATTACTCTTTGCCTCATTATCTATTGTACTATTCAGTGCATGTCATTTGACTTTAGCTATCTTGTTTCTGCACAGCATTCACAATTTGTTGTTTGCATTAGGAAATATAGTTAGTGATGTGACCATGGTCAAATATTGATGTCGTTATACGCCATGTCAAGTTTTTTTTTTAATTGCTTGTTGGTTTACTTTTTTGATGTCTTTTTTTTTTTTCATTTACTCAGTGTCATTACTCCATGAACAAAGCAGCTTCTTTCCTGGGCATTGGCACACAGAATGTTTACTTCATCACAACAGATGAAAGGTAAGGAAACAGAGCCACTGCCATGGTCTGATCCTTTTAAAATGCAGTAGTGCTGTAAGTAAGTAACCTATTTGAACATAACTGAAAAAGTTTTAAATCTGTGTCCCTTAGAGGTAAGATGATACCTGAGGAACTGGAGAAACAAGTCCAGCGGGCCAGGAAAGAGGTGAGAGGGGGAGAGAGAGCGAGCATGCAGGCTGAGCGTTTGTGCATTTGAATGAAAGGGGAATAAGAGTGAGCGAAAGTTACAATAGGGCAGTTCATATACAAATGTTCTTACACGTGCAACCTGCTTGCCACAAATTGTTCAGTAAGCCAGGAATTCCGGGGGATTTGCTGTACAAGGCCATTAACATTTCCCAAGGCCTTTGCTAGTGTTAATCATAGTTCAAGTGATGCTGCTCTGAAGGAATCTAGTACATCTTTTCCGCTCACAATATTCCATTTGCCCTCAAGCCTTCGTAAATTGACATGATAAATGTATTGCTTTAAACTGTTGTTGCTTTCTTGATTATAATGTAACAATCTTAACTGTAGCAAAAGCTACCTGCAAAAGCTATAAGAGAAGAATCCGCAAATGTTAGGAAGCATGTGGAATAAAGGCCTGTTGTCTTAGCTTTTAGTACCACATTCCACCCCGCCCATTGTTGTGACAGGGATCAGAGATTCCATCCAGTGTTTATGTTCCTCCAGGGATCCTGCCATCCGGGAATATGGGTGGGGATAGCATTTGCAGGGACTAGGGTATTGCACTGTGGGATATATTTTGCTGCTCCTTTGAGCAGCAGCAAAGTGTGTGCCCACAGTCTGCCAGCTAGCACTTGTTACTGACAGTAGTTTATGAACTCGCTGGCTTGGGGACCAGAACATGACTCCTAAGATTCAGGTAATCTCTCCTTGGGTTGTTTAGCTGGGCCTTCCTCTATGCACCCAACGTGTGCATCAAAGCAACAAGGGCTGGGATTGAGCCCTTAGTCCTCAATCTGGGAATCGCATACAGACACCTGGTGTGCCATCTAGGATGTTAATGTGCTGGACCACACACAATGGGGCTGACACTTACACCTACTTTCCCATCATTGGCAATGGAGTCAGAGGTGACAGTGCCATCCTGCCTTGCTCCAGGACAGCAGAAAAAGCTTTCAATAAGGGCTGACATACAGGTATATCCTTAACCAAAAACTGACAGTTATTTCCCCACCGTGTACCATATCGAGTTGACTGACTACTGATTTATTGTGGGCCTAATTGCATAGCAAAACAAATTCCTCCTTCCCCCCTCCACTCCCCCAGACAGCTAAAGCAGAAGACCTACACTTCACTCATTTTGAGCAGGTAGGAGAGAGCAGAAGTGAAAATAAAACTGGGCAACTAAAAAGCAATTAATTAGCTGGGCTAATAGGGAAAAATTCCTTGCTCAGGTAAGAAAAGGACTTTCCTTTCTTGGCCTGCGAATGAACTGTTGATAGATTTTTTTTTTTGGATGTTTTTAAAGAAAAGCACCTAAAAGAAGAGTGGGCTAGATCCATTTGTGTTGCACTGATTTTTATAGGAAAGAAAACTCTTTCCTTTATTAAAAATGTTCTGGTTACAGATTTGCTTTCTTTCATAATGTTTGTTATTGTTTCATTTGCCTTGAAATGGGAACGACAAGCACCTTGAAAGGTTCTCTCATTTCAGTTTAGGTTCTGTAAGTACCTCTCTCCTTGATGAAACGCTATTTTATAATTTTTCCACAGCAATATGCCTCAGTGAATCACAGTAAATATTCTTATGACACCAGAGGACTATTTTTTCCTATTCTGCAGTGGTGGAAGTGCATGAGTGTTCTATAAAGCATAACAAAGAGACAAAGTGGGTGAGGTAATATCTTCTCTTGGACCAACTTCTCCTGGTGAGAGAGACAAGCTTTCGAGCTTACATAGAGTTCAGACATGAAGAAGAGCGTTGTGTAAGCCTGAAAACTTCTCTCACCAACAGCAGTTGGTTCAATAAAAGATATGATCTTACCCACCATGTCTATCCAATATCCTGAGATCAACACTACATAAGGCATAATAGACAAGAACCCCTAGGCCTCTTTACTAACAGGATACGACTAGACCTGGTACTTAGAGCAAAAAGGAAAAAACTCAGAAAAGAGGATTTGCTTAAATATAGCGGCAAGCAGAATAAAAACATGCTTCCTTTACTTACTAAAAATGTTATGGTCATTATCAAGAATTCATAGAGGACCCAATCCTGTTGGCCTAATTCAGGCAAACCCCTTGTTGGCTTCAGTGGGAGTTTTGCCTTTGCCTGTTCATTTACTGTGGGAGCAGACCAGCAGGGATTCTTCAGTGAATTGTTGTTAAATGTAATGAATACATCGAGTTATTGCCATGGCGGAAGTGTTGCTTCACTTGGTACTTTAGTTTCAGGCTCTTTTGTTGTTTTTCAGATTAGTTGACTTATTTTAGACTGTGAGAGGAATGAGACATTACAGGCTGGGATTTTTGTGAACATATGGGCCTGAGTCTCATTTACGCTAAGGCCTTTTACACTGCTCTGGAAGTGTAAGTAAAATTGACTCCCCCTGCAAGGCCCTTTGACATGGATAGGTGTAAAGTTGCCTTAGTGTAATTGTGAATGAGACCTATATGTCTTCAATAGATGCTTAAAAGTAAGTGATAGTTATTTGAAGTTGGTCTGGATTTCATTTGAAATAAAACATCACATTGCCAGATTGTCAACTGCTATAAATTGAAATGAATGGAGCGACACTGATTTACATCAGCTGAGGATCTGGCCCTAAAAGTAAATCAGAGAGAGGTCCCTCTTGTTTGCCTAAAATTAAGCATGTAGTTGATGAGAAATCCCAAATTTAACAGTTTAATACCAGTTTTAGTGCGTATGTAGTGATGATTTTATGTATATTACCATCCTTTGGCCATGACCTTGAGTGGTGCAGAGGACTGACTGCGCCCATTGACCTGAGAATTCCATCGCTCAGTGCTGCTTGGGATGAATTTAGCTTCTCTAAATAAATGTAAACCTGGTTGCATGTGCAACTCTCACTGACATCAGTAAGAGCTACAAGTTTGGCAGAATTCTGTCTACTATTGTAATCACCCTGCTAGGATTAACTAAACAGGAAAACTTTTGCTGCCAAGGCCAAAAGGGAAAGAGAGAATTGCCAGAGACCTCAAAGCTGCCAAAAGTTTCACTACTCAATCTATCTAATCTGTCTGAGAGAGAGATGGCAGAAGATCTCACTATATGTTTAACCACTGCCTATAATCCTTACTATTTTCAGAAGAGTAGGACAGACACAGTGACTTGCTGTGGGGCACTGACATTAGGGTTAGTGATAATAGTTCCAGCTTTAGAATATGCTGGCACTTTCTGCCAAGGCAGAAAGTGTTACCAAGCTTAGCCTTCCTCTGCACTAAGCAGGGTGAAGAATACAAGCACTGCAGAGGTAATGCAGGTGGGATCCCCTGAGAGATGAGGAGTCACTTCCTTGCCTGATAGTTGAACTAATGGTGCCATCAATATTAGGCAGAGCTGCGGCAAACACAGCAGTGAGAGGGAAAGGATTGTGAAATGACAATTAAAGTAAAAAAGAGAGATGTCAACTATGCAACATACTTTCATCTTTACAGGGCTCAGAGCTGTCAAAATATAGTCTGCATCTAGTGGAGTCCAGCCCATGACAATATGTCATCCTGGTTTTCAAAAGTCAGCACTTTTAAATACAGTACCTCATATGTTAGCCTTTTACTGCTGAGAAACTAAAATGTAGACACTGTTATACCTGCCCTACTTTTCTAGACCTTGTTATATTTTAGCTCAGTATGCATATTAGAGAATGTGAACAGTGCAAATGACATTTCTTTGTTTTGGATCATTTCACAGGGGGCAGCACCATTTCTTGTCTGTGCCACAGCTGGTACAACTGTGTTGGGAGCATTTGATCCTCTGGATAAAATAGCTGATATCTGTGAAAAACATGGTCTTTGGCTGCATGTGGATGTAAGTTAGTTTATATACCATGTAGTTTTAGTATTGCTTCAGCATTGTTGTTGCTTTCTTCGGCTACTGTGATATTTCCATGCACTCAGAAATTAGACCGGCGTTTAATTCCATTTGCCATTCTTTGCATGGGTTTCTCTGCTAAGTTCCGCTTGCTGAAAACCAGCAAAGAAGTGGGTTTTGAAACCTGGTCAAAGTCTTTTTGCAGATTGCCAGATTGTACTTTTAAGAATGCTTCTAAACAGCTTCCCACTCCTTCCTCCCACCCAAAAGACAAAACCAACCCCCATGCAGTTTTGAAGAGGAGAACAGTATAGAAATATTCCTTCAAATTCCTTCAACTTCTTAATGTGGGCTGGATATAGCATAATTACTGTTAGCCGGGTCAAAGTCAAATGTTCCCAGTGAGACTAACAAGACTTGTAGTCCATTAATGAGTTTATAGTGGTCCAAATGAGAGCAGAATCTGCCTTGATCACAATAACTGATGGCTGTCTCACATTCGTGGATTTGGCTTTCCTGTTGACCCACTTAAATTTTCCTGGGCTGCTCAGAATAAAATGTTCTCTAACCCTTTTTTTTCATTGTATGATAAGGTTTTAATCTTATACAAGTGAAAGGTTGGAAAGTTGAATTTATTATCTCTGTCTGGAGTAATCATTGAGTTACTAGTATGAAGAGTTAATTTTTTTAAAATTGTTTAATCTAAAATTAAATCTTGTAGGCCAGATTCTTCTTCTTAATTACACTAGTATAAATCCAGAATAACTAGACTGAAGTCTATGGAATTACTCAGGATTTATACCAATGTAGTCAGAGGAAAATCTGGACCTGGGTCTATAGGGAAGATTTAATGTTGTTTGTTTTTGATTTTGAACACTTTAAGATTTTTGTAACGGATATGACCTGAGTTTTAAATAAAACTTTTTTTATATTTAACCTGATCACGCTTCCAATTGAGTCAGTGAGTTTTGCCATTGATTTGATGGATAGGCCCTATTCACTTTAATATAAGAGCTGGAGAAATAGCATGGTTAGGGCATTGCTTATCAAATCTAATATTTTTGATCTGATAATTGTCCTAGACCTGTGGTTCCTAAATTGCAGTCTGAGAAGTACTTGCTAGTGGCCTGCAGAGAGCTGGCTTTTCTTGTTTCCAGCTGCTAAATCGTACTAAGAAGCTAAAAAAATAATAATTTAATATTAGGAAAATTCTACTTTTCCAAGTATGCAATTGCTGTAGTTGCCCCAGGGATCTTACTTGATTTCCAGAGGAAGGGGAGGTGTCCTGCACAATCCTGAATGGGATGATATGCGGTGAGCACGGCAACTTTGCTATTAAGATGTGGCCCACATTATGAAAAAGTTTGAGAATTCTTATCCTAGGCTGATAGTGGGTGGTAGGTATTTGTGTGTGCATGTAGACCCTATAGACCCTGTAACCCTATATTTTATTAATTTGTATAGCCATACATATCTAGTCAAGCTCAGGAATGTGGAGTGAGTACTCTTGTAACTGCAGAAAAGAACTCCAGTAATATTCATAATATGATCAATGATGAATATAAGAAAAAGAAAATAAGTAAACACAGGAACTTGTAATTCAGAAATAAACTTCAGGAGTCATGGTGATCAGAGGCCATTCTGAAAAGAAACAGCAACCCCATGTACACTGAAAATAGTGTTTGAAAGCTAAAAGCCCAGTTCTGTGCTGATTTATGCATTGTGCAGTCCAATGGTTATCAAGCCAACACCTAATATGGGCCTGTTTATAATTTTGAAAAAATAAAGAACAATTAAAATCAAATGACTTTGAGTAGATGTAAATGCTCTATACAGCAGGGCCATATTCTGATGTCAATTACACTGGTGTGAATCAGAGTCACTCTGTTGGCTTCAGTCCCAAGAGCTATTCACCATGCTGTCTAAAATTGAAGTCAGCAGAGTTATTCCAGATTTACACAGGTGTAACTCAGTTCCAAAGCTTACCCTATGTCAAACAATACTAGGAAAACTACATTTTCATAAGATTTCCTTCTCCAAATATAAAAAAACCACAACACTTTAAATTACAAGTTTGTGGATGCAGAACTTTTTGTGGGTTTTGTGTATTACACTGTATTTCAAGAGTTAACTTGTTGATTATGAAATGCAGGGCCTAATGTGGTGATTTTGTCTTTATTGTCTAAAGAGAAACTCTGAATAAAAATGAAAAGCTCCGTTTGTTATCACACACATAGTTAAAGTTGTATTGTCTTAGAACCTGATCCAACTTCCATTGAATTAAGGGGAGCTTTTCTGTTGACTTTAATGGGTGTTGGATCAATCCCGTAGCCAGTGAATGGGCATTTAGCATAAATGAAGTTTATTCGCAGCTCTTCCACAGAATTGCTGTGTGATCTTGGGAAACTCACTGAACCTCCTTGTACTTCCTTTCCCATTTGTAAAATTGGAATAATAACTATTACTAGTTACAAGGAAGTTGTGGGACTTTGTGATTCACAGGTGGAGAGAAGTACTGAGTAGTACACCTCTACCTCGATATAACGCTGTCCTCGAGAGCCAAAAAATCTTACCGCGTTATAGGTGAAACCGCGTTATATTGAACTTGCTTTGATCCACCGGAGTGCGCAGCCCTGCCCCGCCCCCCGGAGCACTGCTTTACCACGTTATATCCGAATTCGTGTTATATCGGGTCGTGTTATATCGAGGTAGTGGTGTATTATTAAAATTTTATTCCTTCCTGTATGAGAAAAAGGGTAGTCCAGTGGTGAGGGCACTAGCCTAGGACTTGGGAGACCTGCGTTTAATTCCCTATTTTGCTGCAGACTTACTGTATGATCTGAGAGGCAAGTCACTTATTCCCTAGGAGCCTTAGTTCCCCATCTGTAAAATGGGAATAATAGCACTTCACAGGTTTTCTGGGGATAAATACATAAGACTGTATGGTACTCACACACGGCAGTAAAGTGAGCCATATAAGTGCCTGTAAGACATGATTTTAACCTTTCATTCCCTGGTGTGCCTTCACTGTTCCTATCTCCCAGTTATGGTAAATACCATTTCTGGCCTTTTGCCTCTGAAACAGATACTGATCTAGATAACTTTTATAGACCAACTGATGCAGCTACCTCAGTGCAGCTGCTCCTCTGAATACTTGTATCCTGAAAACTCGGATCCCGTATTTCTACTTTATTACACTTATGTTAATAGAAATTGTGGGTGCTCAGTACTTCTCAGGATCCAGTCTTGGCATATTCTTTTTGTGGACTTCAGTAAGAGGAAGGCACTGTGCAAGTGTGGGTTGTGCAGGCATCAGCACACAGTTGTGCCAGTGCACCTCAGCCAGGGGTGAAAGTAGTAATAGGGACTTACCGGCACAGGGCTGGGTTGGGGCCGGCTCCGGCCCCCGGAAGGGGCGGGGTCTCGGGGGGAAGGGGCGGGGATGCGCGGGGTCAGAGCCAGCCCCGGCCCGCCCTGTACCGGTAAGTGCCCTCCTCCTCCCCCGCCGGGGTAGCAGCGGCAGCTGGGGGCTCTGGCAGCAGTTTAAAGGGCCCAGGGCTCGGCCGCTGCTACCGCCCCAGGCCCTTTAAACCACTGCCGGAGCCCCCAGCTATCGCTGCTACCCCAGGGCTCCGGCAGCAGGGCTCCGGGGGCTATTTAAAGGGCCCAGGGCTTCCCTGCCTCTACCGCCCTGGGCCCTTTAAATAGCCCCCGGAGCCCTGGGGTAGCAGTGGCGGGGCTCCGGCAGCTATTTAAAGGGCCCAGGGCAGTAGAGGCAGCGGGAGCCCCCGCCCTTTACATAACCCCCGGGGCCCCGCTGCTGCTACCCCAGGGCTCCAGCAGCGGGGCTCTGGCGGCAATTTAAAGGGCCTGGGGCTGGAGCCCCAGGCCCTTTAAATTGCCGCCTGGGGAAGCCGGGCCGCCCCGGTACGGTGCACCGGCTCTTGCCAGTACGCTGTACCAGGGCGACCGGCTTACTTTCACCTCTGACCTCAGCCCTAATTTAATAGTATTCCGGGACTCAGGCCTCTCTTAGGGCGAGGCTAAATACAGTGCGCCAAACTTGTGATGTCTGGGGACCAGAGTGAAACGACTACATCTAGGTCACTTGCTATGACCGAAGTCATATTTTAAATCAGGTCTTCATAAGTCTACCACAATGTGTTAATCCTCTGAGTAATCTGATTTTATGAATTTGTGCGTTTTTGGAGCTGAACAAATGCCCATTGACTTGAATTGGGACAAGATTTCACCCTTAGTGTGAAATTCACATTTCCTGAAAAAATTAGGCCAAGGTACGATATAGGGGCCTCAGAATCTCCCCCCTCCTCCCGCAACACAAAGATATAGCACCTACAGCCATCCTTGGGCTCTAGTAGTCGCCGTAGCTCAGTATGCCCCACCCCTGTATGGGATTCCTAGCTAATGAATGTAGGTTATTTGATGACCCACTGACCACACGCCTACCACTCTTCTAGTCCACCCACAATCCCCTGTGCATTCTTGTCAAGTGGAGAAACATTTCACTTGGCTCTTCAACATGAAGGGAGCCGTGGAATCCTTCTAAATGGCGTTTGTGCTTTCTAGCCTCGTACAGCAGAACAGCAGTGGTTCCACTTCTTTTGGTCATTCCACAGATGTGCAGGGATGGGAACCGAGATTTCACCCAATTCTATCACATGGCTTTTGGCCTAACTTCCAGTCAGTAACAGTATATACCACCATATACCAATTGCTTCATAAATATGTATAAAAAACATTTTATTTGCATTACTCATTCAGAAAAAATATTTATCTTTAAAAGGACTCTTCTATGAGGCTTTCTGAAATTTTCCACAAAATTTTGTTAGCTTTTAGTTCCTGGAAAAATGTTTCCAACTTATGCAGAAATCCCTGCCAGGTACATTTTAACACACACATTCTGCATATGCGTTTTTAAATTGCTTGGGTCCCAGTTCTGCATGGGTGGGTCCCTGTTACCTAGTCCCTGCTCTGCACAATCATGGGGTCTGCCTGCCTGGAGCTCTTTGCAGGATCAATGCCTTCAACATTTGAGCCCTTTTCTTTTTTACTACTACTAATTTCTTACAAAAGACTTTGAGCACATTATGTGACATGTGCCCCACAATCTCCCTTTCCATGCATAGCTGCATGGAAACTCTTCATTAATGTCTGAGATTTCTAGATTCATTGCAGCGGTTAGGTAGTTGGGGTCCAATCCTGCGCACATTGAATCCATGTTAAAAATTCCATTGATTTCAGTGATGCCACATCAGACCCTAGTAGGGTGGCCAGATGTCCCGATTTTATAGGGACAGTCCTGATTTTTGGGTCTTTTTCTTGTATAGGCTCCTAATACCCCCCCCCACCACCGTCCCGATTTTTCACATTTGCTGTCTGGTCACCCTAGACCCTGGGTGCTGCCGTCACATACTTGCAAATGTTATATTCCATAGTAAAAGTCAGTGGTCCAAATTCTGGGCCTGACTATGCAACTTACATAGAGTAGCCTTTCCTTGAGAGAGTATTGTCATCGAGGTCAATGGGACTACTCCTGTAAGTGCTACATAGAGTGAGTGAGTGAGATTTGCAGAATTGGGCGCTCTTTGACACCAGTGCAACCGACTTGATTTCAACATGGTTGCATTGATGTCACTGAGTGTACAATTAGGCACCATGAGCAAGGATCACACACATTTAAATCAGAGTATTGCTTTAGAATAAGATGGATTATTGAGGTTTTATAAAATAATGCAGTGGAAATACTTATAGAACCTTAGAATATACAAATAACATTGTCTTGGTTATTTAAATATCTCAACAGGCATCTTGGGGTGGCTCAGCTTTGATGTCAAGGAAGCATCGTAAGCTTCTGCATGGCATTCACAGGTAAATAGTTTAACGGCTCATGGGAACACCCAGGAAGGGTGTTAATTGGGAAGGGCACTGCTTAAGAATCTCTTTGGAGTTTGTATATCCAAAGCATTTTTTTAATCGAAGAGACTACAGAATTTATAGGGAGGGAGGAGAGGAGGGGAATTCAGAAATCTGTTATAGGCATTTGTAATATACATGGGCATTTTTCGCTATCTACTACTGTGATTATAAGGTAATCATTTGTTTTTCCTCTTTCCTTAATTCCCCAGGGCTGATTCTGTTGCCTGGAATCCCCATAAAATGCTGATGGCAGGAATCCAGTGCTGTGCTCTTCTGGTGAAAGACAACTCTGTAAGTCATCCGGTTATCTTTTAAATGCAACTTAAAATTAGGGTGTATCATTGCTGTACAGTATTATGGAAGTGGAAATAATTAGGATGCAATTGCAAGTTATTTTTACTACACTCTCCAATGCAAAGTATAGAGCTGTAAAAAACGTATACAATGTCACAAAGGACAAATAAATGATATGGGACCAAATTCACCCATGACACTAAACTCAACAGAGTTATACCAGGGTTGAATTTTGCACATGGTGTTCCTGTAACTTATTTGATTTAGATGATGAAGTAAGCTGCTCAGTCACACAGATGCAGGATGAAGTGGTCTCCAGCACTTGGAGCCTGATCTTGCTCCCATCAAAGTCCATGGCAAAACTCTCTCATCCATTTGGATGGGAGCAGTATTTAGTCTTTCGGTGGCATTCATTAAACAGTTAGGGCTAAATGTTTCCTTCCTTTGCACTAAATTTTAGGTCGACTTACAACCACTGCTCCTTTGCCTCTCCCCATTGTTCACTGCACTGTGCTGGCATGTTTCTTTCATCCCTTCCATATGGTTTGGTTTCTTCTTTGTCTGCCTGTCCCAGTGATGTGCTATGCTGCATAAAAATCAGCTGGAGGACAACTTAATTCGTGCTGTCACAAATTGACAGGAGGTGCTGTGTTCAGCAGTTACTTCAGCACATTGCACTAGTGCATCAGCAGGATAGGTAGATGAAAAAGAGATGGCTCACTGGTATTTCTGGGGAGGGATAGGTGGGCAATACCTCTCCTCTTTTTGCTTGCATACATGCAAGAGTGAAATAAGTTTCATTTTTTCCCCCCATGAATTCATCACTCTCTCCTCCTGAGTAACCTTCCAGGGAATTAGCATGTACTCCAAGTAGATAGGACTACTTTTTAAACACCTGCTGTGTTTGCAGTCTGACGTATTCAATTATGAAGCTGTTCAGTTCTGGTTATAGCAATATCTCAAGTGACCTTCCATGGCTTGCACTAACATTACACACCATGTTAGGTCTTTTTGTGATAGACATAATTATTTCCCATAGGAAAGAATGACACGAGGGGAACTAATATCCTCTGATGCTCTCTGTCAGAGAGCAGGATGTGGGTGATTGTGCCTGGTGGTTAGTGCAGGAGTGAGCCCTGGTGGCTACAGCAGGAGCCAGAAGTCAGTAATTGGAGCCAGGGGCCAGAGCCAGGTTACATGGAGTGAGGCAAAGCAGGGGCAGAGCTGTTTCCAAGCCAGGAGCTATCACAGTCATGGGCAAATGCTTTGAGTGGCCACCAAACTGCTGCTGCTGGGTTTAAGAGCTGGTCTGCTGACTCTTATTGCCAATGAGGCAGCCTACCACAGGCCAGCTCTGCTCCTCAGATTGCCTGGAGACTGGCTCTGCTGCAGGTTCTGATTCCTTACACCCGCTGCAATGCAGCTATGTTATACTTTGATAACTCCGTGTCCATCCCTGCCTCACCCTCACAACTGAAACACTATGCAGAATTGTGATGCGTAGTCCGTAGGAGCCAAACCAAACACTTTTTTTTTTTTTTTTGAATACCACTACTTTTTTCAAGCTGTAGCACTACCTATTCTGCTCGTTGACTTAGATGTCCACCTATGAAAGCAAGCTTTCTTTTAAAAACTGACTTAACGTGATGCAATGGCTGTGCAGGTAGATTACTGTAGCAGGTATGGGGCCACACAGAAGAACATAAGACCAGACTGTAAGAAACTTCAGGGATTGGAAAAGGCTCAGTGTTTGATTTGAGATTCCATCTTCTTGCCTTTGTCACCATGACTTCCAATCTCCTAAAAGGACAGAGGATGCTTTCTTAAATCTTACAAATGTAGGGCCCAGTTGTGGTTTTCCAGCCACTGCTCCAACTTGTGGGTCTGGAAGAGGAGCATTACCATTCTGAGGAGTGCAAGGGGAGAGCACCCCCGGTACCACTCTTTCCAAAGTGATAGCATGAGCTTCCTCCCTACAAGGTCAATTTTGCTGGCCACTATGGAGGTGAGACAGGCTGGTGATTTGCTGGCCCCTCTGGGAAGCTAGTGGTATTGATGGTGTCCAGTCCCCGCACACCCCTCCTTGAAATCTCTCCCTTTTGGTGCCCCTCAATCAAGTCCATAGCCCAATGTTCGAAGGGGAATTGAAGGAACAAGGAGAAAAGGAGGAAGACATAGTGACTTGAAGTGAGGAATGTTGTTCCCTTTTATTATTCCCTCATCGTAACAGATTTTATTCTACGTATGCCAGTAGGTAACTCGTATCACTTTTATATCCCTTGGATTTTGTCTTGACATATTTTCTTCTATTTAATTACCAGTTCAAGAGAGTTATCTGTGATGCATTGGAATGCAGATTAAAACCTGTACATTCTGTTACAGAAATAACACTTTTCACAAAAGTCTCTGTCAGACACCTTGTACCATTTCACAATCAAACTTGCAACAGATGTAGAGAAATGAAATATACCTTCAGTCAGTCCACACTGAAATTTAAAAAATGGATTGTGTTTTCTCCATGAGATGATGTTCAGCAAGGTTTCATGTTTATAGGCTTCACGATCTACTTAGAACACGTGCAATGTGGCTGCCACTTAAACACACAGTTGCAAATCCAGATTAAATTCTGTAGCCAAACTTTTACTCTACATGCATTCTAATTAGTTTCATTCAGCCAAAATCCTCCATTAGTTCCACCCTCCTCAATTATTGACCACTCCACTGCCCTCCTTTTGTCATGTAGGTGCACAACCTTAGGGCCATCTTCAACTTCTTTTCCATTTCCTGCTACATCCTGGCTCTTGCTTCTTCCTCCGCAGTATTTATCAAATCTGTCCATTCCTCACTCTCTCAAATGCTGCAACCTTCTCCTTTCTGTTTATCCCTATCTCTACTCTCTTTGGCCATCCAAACTTCTGCCTTTAAAATCATCATCTTCTCCTGTTGCTCTATGGCACCCCTTCCTCAAGACATTTCACTAGCGTCTTGTCTCATTGCACTTTAGTTTTAAACCCCTCATCCAAATCTTCCAGGCTCTGCTCAGCTCTGTGCCTGCTGCATCACAGCTCTTCTTTCCTCCTACTTCCCACCTTGTGACCTACCTTCTTCCAGCTCCCCTCTCCTTTAATGCTGCCTTTGTTTCCTGCCCCCCCCACCATTTGTAAGCTTGTCTTTTGCCATATTTTGTACCCCATAATCCTACAACAACCCACCCGAATGATGTGGCTTCATTCTTTTTCTGATCCCTCTACAGAACTCATTTATTGTGGCTTCTTTTTCACCACTCATCTCTGTTTGGACAGTCTCTACTGAATTAGTCTTGAGAGTCAGAGCATGTGAATTTTTTCATAAAATGCTTTCATTTCAAAACTGGAATTATGATGCAATAAAATAATTTCCTGCATGCTACTTTTAAATGTGAAGAGTGGCAGAAATCTCTTAGGAGACTGAAAATGATGCTGTATTGATACTCTGCTTGGTGTATTTTTATTGTACCAAATGAATAATCTATGCTTAAATCATTAGAGGTTGTCCAGTGTTTTTTGGGGGGAAATCGGAAATTTGGAGTGAAATACACCCCACCTCATAAGCCCCAAGTAATTGGACTGTACATAAGGAACTCTGTTGGAGCAGGCCAGATTGGATTCAGCCACCCCTTTATCCACAGGCAGGCCACAGGGCTGCAAACATAGGTGCTGGAACTAGGGCTTCTGGAGGTGCTGCTGCATCCTCTGACTTGAAGTGGTTTCCATCCTATTCAGGGTTTACAGTTTGGATCAATGGCTCTCAGCACCCCCACTATACAAATTGTTCCAGCACTCCTGGCTGCAAAGCACCTCCTCTGTGACTGCTCTTCCAACCTATGGACTGCAACTATGGCAGCAGCAGGCCGACACTCTATATATTTGGGCGACTAGTTCAGTGTAAATGCAGATCCAGTGGCTCTTCTTTTCACCTGCTCCCTTGGCCTCTTTGGGGCTGACACAGAAGACTCTTCCACAGCCCACAACTCATCATTGGCAATATGGGATGAAATCCTGGTCCCACTGGGATCAATGGCAAAACTCCCATTGGCTTCATAGGGGCCAGGGTTTCATCCAGTGTTCTTAAGCAATAAGGAGGGACTTGCATGGATTCTCCATGCTTGGGTTCATTCCATGTTGTTGTTTGTTTTTTGTTTTTTCAGTAAAAGTTTGGCACAAAGAAAATAGTGCAAGTTAATTTCCAACTTATAATGTTGCTTATAAAACTCAAAGGGTTTTTTAAATGCACAGCAGCAGTCTAAACTTTTATTTTATTTTAAAATAGGACCTGCTTAAGAAATGCTACTCTGCCAAGGCCTCCTACCTTTTCCAGCAGGACAAGTTCTATGATGTCAGCTACGACACAGGAGACAAGTCTATCCAGTGTAGCCGACGACCGGATGCATTTAAATTCTGGATGACGTGGAAGGCATTGGGAACTACAGGACTTGAGGAACGAGTAAACAGAGCCCTTGCCTTAGCTAGGTACCTGATCTCTAAATTGAATGTTGTTTTTTTTTTTTTTTAATTGACTGAAGCTTCCATAACAATGCCCACAGCACACTGTCTATCCTGAAACCAGTTAAATCTTTATAACTTTAAAATAATCTAATAATAATTCATAAATTAGGGATAAAATGAAGTTCAGGGTCCAATTTAAAGGGATACCATCAATCTGTATTAGGCCTAAAGGTGATCGTCTGGAAACTGATGCGGTCCAGTGAAGAACGCCCTTCCTATTTCAGATATCTAATTTAGAAACGACGCTGCTGTTTTTCATTAATACCAAAACACAATGGGCCAGATTCTGTGCTGTATCCAGCTGGAGGTGAATTTACCATTCCAGAGACTGTATGGTGGGGAAATTCCCTTGGGCCACTGTAGCCCCTTTATGGCTCTTTTATGCCACCAAATTGGTGGTAGTACCTGTAGGGAGAGTGGGTTTTCCTCCCCTTCCCCTAAAACTCCCTGTTGCAGGCAAGGTTTTAATGTGTAGAGTGCCACCGTTTTTAAAGTATGTTAGCATCTGTGGCTTCTCTCCTTGCAGCAGCCAAGAAATCCCACCACTCTAGCATTTGCAAGTGCTTCCAAGAGGCATTTGAAATTAATGCTTTGTTTTTAAAATATGTTTGAGCATGAGCCATAATGTTCTTGAAAGTCAGGTGCAGAACCTGGATTTAGAATGAAGATTGGGATTACCATAATGGATCATACAAGTGCTCCATCAAGTCCATACTCCATTGGTAGCCTGTATCTTGTGCCTCAGGAGAACGTGCAGGAAACCCTACAGCAGGATTTTATAGAATACCTGGCCCACAGGGAATTTTTCTTCCTAAGCCCCATTAATTAGAGGTTGGCTTCTTCCCTGAAGCATCCCTTCAAAACCTCTCTAATAGTGAATCTTTGCATGTTCTTGTTATCCTTATAAATTTTCAATCCTTTTTATTTTTAAACCCTACTAAGTTCTTGAGCTCTGTCTTGTTAGCAGTAAGTTCCACGAGCTCATTGTGCACTGTGTAAAATTCTCCCTCAATGAGCACTTCCAAGATGGTGTTGCCAGAGGCTCTGGGAAGAGAATTATTTATATGGGTTATTTTGCATGGACACTGACCTTTTTAAAATTAAACAAAATCTCCTTTTCTTTTTGTACAGTGCCTAGCACAATAGGGTCCTGATCCATGATTGGGGATCCTTGGCTTCAAAATACAAATAATAAATATTAATAACACTAATCAGCCCTATGTTGTTAATTTATTTTTAATTTGATGCCAAATACCATGTCAGAGAGAGTAATACCCTAGCATTTACAATGGTGCAAGTTAAAGGGACAGTTCCTTTTCAACACTTCCATATAAAGAAAAAGCTAAAACATAAATTGCGTAAAAATATATGTATTCTAAAGAAAAAAAGTGGCGCTAGAGGGAATTCATTAAAAACCAAATCCACTGTCATGATTCTGCTGCTTAAATGTCCCTAGTGTCTTTTGAGTAAATTGCAGTCCTGTGTGCACTTCAGGGCCCTCTGTCGAGATATATATATATATATATATATACAGAGCGCGTCAGTTCCTTCTTGCTATCAGTAGAAGGATTCAGCCACATCAAGGTCACTGGTGCAGGTCATCTGACTGAGAATGTACAGATTAATGGTGGGATCAATATCCTCTTTGATAGTTAGGATTTAGCTGGTGGTGTTTCTAAGTGACAGTGTGGGTTTTTATTTTTGTTTTGTTTTTTAATGAAATTGCCTTAATCAGATAACAGCTAGCAGTGATATTCTGTACAGTAGCTGCTTTGCTATCTTGACTTTGCATGGGAACAGGCACTTGGTAGCTGAGACATCAGTTTCCCTGGGCACTAAGCCAGATTTCTTAACTACATGACCAGCTGTGCAGCCTTTTTCTTGCTATGTTACAGTAGGGTTTACTTTGATGCTGCAGAGATGATATTTTAGTGTTCCTGAATATGACCTGGATTAATTCTGGAGCTAGTCCATTGACCTTACAATTTGAGGGCAAGAATTTTTCCACTGCCAGGCAGAGTTGCAAAGGTTTTTAATCTGATTGCAATTCTGTACTCCCTTTGCATCAAACTCTGGCCATTGCATTGATTTCTTCCTTTTTTTAGAGGTGAATCATGTTTTTATAGCATTAGCTTAGATCAGATCAGAATGCTCCTTAGCTATTTACTTGAAAGGACTTACTTTTAAAATACTTATGATAGAGTGCTCAACTGATCACTTTGGAGATTATTTTCTTTACATTTAGTCCTGATGGCAAAGAATTAGATTCCCTTATTTCCTTATTGCTTTATGGAGTAAGCTGCATTTTAGAGTCACAAGATTGCGATCACATCTGGGTGTTGTGTTAGACCATCATCTCCACAGTTTGTGTCACCTCTGTCTGATTCCTTTTCTAAAGACACCCCTCCGCCTGAAACCTAGCTTCATTCACTACTGGCTCCCCCTCAGTTTCTGCGGTGTTAGTAATTTCAAATACTTCTTGTTTTTTCTGCTCTGTTATGAAGTTGTTGAACTAGGACTCCACCCTTTCTGTGATTCCACAGTCAGGGGATAATAATAATACAGTTCTACTGTCCACCATGGAAAGATGTAGGGAGAAAATTGCACCACTGGTGCCAAATGGACCGGACATTAGAAATCGAGAATGGTGGATTTTCTAGTGGCTGCCTTTTTTGGCCATGGACAGTGGTCAGAGAAACATCAGATGTCAATCAGTCACACACCACTTTTAATCTTGTTTCAGTGGGTGGTTAAAATAAACAAAAAACAAAAACAAAATGCTAGCCACGGGGGAGAGAGCTATTTTGCAGTGCTAACTATCTTGCTAATGCTATTTTAAAATTGCTAACATCTTTCAAAAACAAGGTGATCTCATTTTAGCTAATCCAAAAAAGGGAAGTGTTGTTGTGTTTTTGTGTGAAGTTTTGTTTTAAATGAATGAGGGAACATGGGCTACTCCAGTCCAGGACCTCTCCTGAGCAGATTGTTTGTTGTGCTCGGTGCTGTAGTTTTATGATATGGACAAATGTCATATAGCCAGTAGTCAGGGTCACTAAACTTGTTTCACTTTAGTCCACAAAAATATCTCCTCCAGAGGCATGGTGGGTCTTTGCCCAGTTTGCTAACTAGCCTCATAGCCATCCCATAATAAAATCAGTCTAATCCTTGGTGCAATAATGGTAAAGCACCTTTTTTATTCTTTGCTTAGCTTTGTCAACCTGAACGTTACTGTGGTTGATCACGGTGGCCAGGTGGCAAACTATAATGCTAACGGTAACTGCTGATCTAAATGGACATTGAAAAAGAGATTCAATGCTGGCTTCGTTTTGATAAGACAGGTGGAAGGATCTCAGCAGTATGCAGTTAGATACAGCATTCAGAGCTGGCATCAGCACTTTGTCATGGCAATCAGGTTATATGGATATACACTAAGGGTAATGAGTCACATGCACAAGTCTTGTTAACCACAAACAACACGGCAACTCCCCATGCTCTGCTTTGAAAAAATGTATGCTCTCTAAGGTGTTCTTTATTGAGCCCCTGGATAAACAATCTCTGCAGGATCTCAGCTAAAGTGCCAGGCTGTGACAATGAAGCTGTGCTGGTGGTGCCCATATTGGGACTTTCCCCTGGCATGTACACAGGGCCCAAAGTTGGTGTTTTGACAGATTTCTTCCTCCCTCTATTTGTGCTCACGGTATATGGTGATAACCAGTAAAAGCAGTTACAAGCAGAAAAATGCCTAAGTATCACAACAAACGGACAGATTTATTGAAATATTCCCAGACCCTGGCCAGAATCCTGACAAAAGGACTTTTGTGGGGTCTGATCATGCTGACTGCACACACGGACTCATGCTGGCATTACTAATTTGCAGTTGCTGACAGAGCAAACAGGAGATAAAGTACATTCAATAAAGGCAGTAGGTAGCTAGATGTATGGAATATTGCTGTGTGTGGAATGGGACGCAGCGATTAACAACAATACAGTGCCATGGGAACCGTGTTCTCCGAACTGCAGGCCAGTGCCCTGGAGCCAATGCAGTTAAACAAGACAGATAGGAGTATGCAACCACTCCATTCACAGCCAGGGCAGCACAATACCCCTTACCTAGTGCCTTTACTCAGGCTATCACTACACTAGAGAGCTTACACCGATGCAGCAGTGCCACTGTAAGCTCCCTCGTGTAGCTGCTCTAAGCTGATGGGAGAGCTCTCTTCCATCAGCTTCATTAATCCACCCCCAACGAGTGGCAACATCTGTGTCAGCTGGAGAAGCTCTCCCGCCTCATAGCGCTGTCAATGCCGGCGCTTAAGTTGGTGTAGCTTATGTCGCTCGGGGGGTGGCTTATTCACACCCTGAGCGACATAGGTTATGCCAACATAAGTGATAGTGTAGACATAGCCTCAGAAGCAATTAAATAGGCCTGACAAGGATTTGGCTGCAACCTTTGCAGCTGGGGCTGTGCATGCAAATGTCACATGTAATTACTTTGTGTGAATATGGCAACATATAATGACCATAGAACCCAGTTTATCCAAGCCTCCATTATGCGGCTCTTATTAACCGAACCACCCACGCGCACACAGGATCATAGGAAATTGACATCACCTCCATCGTAGTATTGGTATGCCGTGTTTTCAGTCTTGTAAAAGATTGACACTATTAAGCAAAAATGTGTAGTGCTGTTATTGGATGCAAAATTAGAGATTATTAATAAAATTAAAAAAAGGAGTCTCGCTAGCAAAAATAGCCCAAAATTATAGCATTGGATAAAGCACAGTATTGGACATCAAACACAATGCAGAGCAAATTCTTAAATATTGCATGAATAACTCAATATCTCTGCATACTGGAAGACCATGAAGCAACTGAACGATGCTGGTCTAGATGAAGCCCTTTAACTGTGGTTTATACAGGCGAGAGAGAGAGGCATTCCTATTAGTGGTCTTTCACTATGCGAGAAGGCTTAAGGCTTTCATCAAGGTTTAGAAGGGGATGCATGTTTCTCAACTAGTCAGGGATGGCTCGGTCAGTTTAAAAAGCGTCACGACATCCGACAGCTAACAGTCACCAGGGAAAAGCTGTCTGCTAATTCAGGAGTTATTTCTGACTATTAAAAAAAAAAAAAAAAAAAAAAAAAAGGCAAGTATCTTAGCTGAGCACAACTTGTCACTGGAACAAATTTATAACTGTGACGGGACTTGCTGCAGGAATGGAAAGATCTGTGCCTGGCTACAAACAGAGCAAAGAACGTTTGACAGCCCTGGCCTGTGCTAATGCTAGTGGCACATCTAAGCTCCCGTTAATTATCATTGGTAAAGCAACGAATCCACATGCGCTTAAAAATGCAAAAATGGATGCTTTGCCCGTCCTCTACAAATCACAAGGAAAAACATGGATGGACAGTGTTTTGTTTCGTGATTGAGTTTTTAAAAACTTTTGTTCCAAGTATGCAAGCTCATCTGAACAAAAACAGCATCCCATTGAAAGCTATATTACTGCTGGGCAACGCAGTCGCTCACTCTGATGACAGAGGGCTCACCTCCCAAGATGACCCGATTTTCTGGGTTTTTTTTCTCCCCTCCAAACATAACATCTCTTTTGCAGCCTATGGACCAAGGCATGCTGGAAAGTCTAAAACAACGCTATCAACAGGATCTTCTTAATCGACTATTGATGTCTGATGAAGCAACTGAGAACAAAGGCAATATGTTGCAGCGCTGGAAAAAAAATCAATATCAAGGATGCTATATATGAGGTTGCAGAAGCATGGGAAGACATCTCCAGGTCAACCTTACAAAAACTGCGGAAAAATCTGTGGCCTGAAGTTATTGCTGACACTTAGAACAGTGACCAGGCAGCTGAAACAACAGCATTGGCAGCTGAAGAAGAGACCAGTGCATTTGTGGATCTCCTCCATAAGACTTCCTCGCTGCACAGAAGTCGATGAAGATGATGTTGCAGATTGGCTTGAAAATGATGCTAACTACCCTGGAAGATGCCAAAATCATTCAGACTGTACTAGACGCTGACAGCGATTATGCAGCTGAAGAGTCTGCTGAGGAAGAATTGATGGGAAAAAATTCTCACTGCGGTGCTGCAATAGCAGGAAACCTCTTCCTTCAGTACTTGGAGCAACAGCCTAATACCGACCCCTCTGAACTGCTGTTGATGAAGCCACTCCATGATGGCACAATGAAGACGAGAACCTCTCATCTAGAACAACGCAAACTGTCAGATTTTTTTTCCAGGCATTCTAAATGTGAGTGCTGCTGTACCTACCATCATGCTATGTACTGTACTTTCTGCATATTCCATATTGTTGTTACCATTAGTATTGCTGTTGCAGAAATGATCATTTTAAGTTGTATTTTTAAAAACTGGTACTCTTTATAGAAGTAATGGTTCATGTACGCTGTAAATAAGGAAGGGGGTTATGTTTTAATGCTTTGTAATGATTATCATTTTTGCATTTTTTTTTTAAAAAAATCGTACTCTTTGTGATGTTATGTGTACATAAGCTAAATAGAGATGGTAACTTGTGTAACATTAAACAGACTTTGTAGACCAATGTTTATCAACCTAGTGTCAGAGAACAGATTTAGGAGGTCGCAAGTACAGAGCCAGCATTAGGGGGTGGCAAGCAAGGCAATTGCCCGGGACCTCACGTCACGGACCCCCGGGAAGCTAAGTTACATGCTTCAGCCCCAGGCGCAGGGTTCCAGCTGTCAGCCACGGGCGGCAAGGCTCGGGCTGTCAGTTGTAATTTAAAATCTGATCCCCGCCTGTAATATTCCAATAGCTTAAATTTTCTAGCAGTGATGTCTCAGGCAAGGCCTGACTCAAGTGGCCTAAGGGGAAAAAATGTTTTAAATGTCCTAAACATTCCCTAAACCTGCCAGGGTTGCTCCTTCTAACTTCAGAAACTGCTCCTACCCTTTCCCCCCGAAAATCAAATACTGGGTGACATGATCACACACTCCCGCTCCTTGGGTAGGTCTACACTTACCCGGTAGTTCGGCGGCGAGCGATCGAACTTCTGGGTTCGACTTATTGCGTCTTGTCTGGACGCGATAAATCGAACCAGGAAGTGCTCGCCGTCGACTGCGGTACTCCTGCTCGGCGAGAGGAGTACCACGGAGTCGACAGGGGAGCCTGCCTGCCGCGCGTGGACCGAGGTAAGTTCGAACTAAGGTACTTCGAACTTCAGCTACGTTATTCACGTAGCTGAAGTTGCGTACCTTAGTTCGACTTGGGGGGTTAGTGTAGACCTGCCCTTAATTACAGTCATGCTGATCCAGTTAGGGCACAGAAACAATTCTATGTGACTAAGGTGACTACTTGCACAGCAGTAGGAGTGAATAACAAATACAGGCAGTGAACAACTTTCAAAGTGCTCATATGCAAAAAAAAAATTTCAGCCTCAGTAGTTTGAACAATTATGAATAACAATTGAAACTCTGTGAACAATTCACAAACAGGAAAAAGAAGCCAAAATGCGGACAAAGTGTTCACAATGAATAGTTTGACCATCTCTACTCTTGGTGCATTACTCCTAGAGCCAGTTGGAAAAACTTTGATGGAACCATATTGCACTGGAATATGCAGTTCTATTGAAATTCAAACATGTCGCAAAATCAGGTTGATTTTACCACTGTTTCATTTCAGAAGTAAAATGTGGAAAAAAGTTCAGACAATAGTGAGATGTCCCATTTCAGCATTTTTGGAACAAAATGTTTAGATTTTTTTTTGTTTCGAAATTACCTTGTTTTAATTTTTTTTAAATGTTGTATTATAATACAAAACAGCCAATGTTGCAAAGTTTTGATTTCATCAAAATGAAATGTTTTGGTTGACCCAAAACAATTTTTTTTTCCTTTGTGGAGAATTTAAAATGTTCAGTTTCATTATAATTTGGAACAAAGCCGAACTTTGAAATCCTTTGCAAAATGGAACTTGCATCTTCCCCACACAGCTCCAATTCCTACTTTTATGACTAGAGATGAAACTGAGCTGCGAACTTTGGATCCACACCCAAAGTCTTCTGACAATCAGATGGGGTGAAATCCACCCTTTTTCGGTTTAGAATTCTGTAGAGATCTGTGCCCGCTGTAACGTTTGGGTCAAGATCCAAATATTTCTGTAATTTGAGGGGTTTTTTTGGATCCAGGATTTTGGTTCAGATCTATTTTCGCTTATTACATTAGTGTGTTTCTGCTGGTGGTGAAAGAAGAAAATTTTCTTTTAGTGCACTGTTATTGGAGAATACCCAGGGATGATTATGCATCAGTGACATATATTGTTGTGTAAAAGTGAAACTGTGAAGATACTGAAGGTTGCTGAGAGAGAGGTCCAGTGCACCAGGGCATGATGCTAAAGAATAGGAGAGAGTAAGAGAATTGGGGGCAGTGGCAGGACTTAGAGAAATGTCAGAAGTAGGCAGTGAAGTGAAATGAGATGGCAGCACAGAGCTTTTAGCTGTGGAACAGAAAGTGAGTTATTAGTAGAGAACAACTCAGGCGTGGTCTATAGTAGCAACTTACGTTGATAGAACTACGTTGTTCCATACCCCTGTGGAAAATCCGTATCCCTGAGCGACGCAGTTATAGTGACCTAACTCCCAGTGTAGACAGCACTGTGTTGATGGGAGAGCTTCTCCCATCGACACAACTACTGCCTCTTGGGGTGGTGGAGTACCTACACTGTCAATGTAGATAGTGTCTCCACTAAGCACTACAGCGGAACAGCTACATCGCTGCAGCATTTTAAGTGTAAACAAGCCCTCAGTGTTGGAAAAGGGAGCTACGTTGGTGGATCCATGCAGCTCACAATTCTAATACAGGTAGGCCCAATTTCTGCTCCCAATGAAAGCGGGCAGCATTTGGTTTACACCATCACTCACCGCTTGGCTCCAGTCTTTACTTATTTTCGGGAGCTGGTTATCCCATTAACTGTTGTATTTTCACAGCAGGTAGAAACTTCTTTAAAGCTCTGCTATTAAGAAATCTAGACATGTTCAAGACCATTTTTTGCTACCTGCATATCCTATATTTTTGTTACATCTTATAAACATTGTATGTTTACTTGCAGATACCTAGTAGATGAAATTAAGAAAAGAGAAGGATTCCAGCTTCTGTTGGAGGTAGGTGACTATAGAACTGAGTTTGTGTTTTTTGTCAAATGCCAGTCTGTATTTTGGGTGCTTATTTAAATAAACTTGGTAAATTGCTGATGCACAGAAGTGTTAAACCACATCATATTGTTCATATTTCACATAATCAGTCTGTCCATTTCCCTTGCTTCTGGGGTTGTGTAGGCATTGGGACCTATGGCTTGAGTAATCCCCTTGTATGGCAATGGGTAGGGTTGCAAAAGGACCACCCTTACTAGAGCTGGTTGGAGTTTTTCAGTTAAAACTTCTGTCCTGAAAGTGGACTCTTCTTCATTTAAAAATAATAATAATAAAACAATCGCCACCCCCTGCACTCCCAAATTTCCAGTGTAGAACAACTGGCACTTTTCAAACAGCTCTACTGATAACTTTTTTTTCCTTCCAATTTACTCCATGGCAAAGTAAGTTGACGAAGTTCCTGTTTGCAAAGAATGCGCTGAGCAGCAGGGGTCTCAGCTCCTGCCCCTGCTCAGCTCTTTGGCCAATGAGATCAGCACCTGGGGACATCGAGGAGGGGAGTCTATTTAGAGAAAGTGTGTGTGTGTGTGTGTGTGTGTGTGTGTGTGTGTGTGAGAGAGTGAGAGAGAGAGAGCAGCAATAGGAGAAGGAGTAGAGTAGACCGGAAGATGGGGAGTAACAGGATGGCGGAGGCATAGGGGGAGAAAAAAGGGACAGGAGGAGGAAGGGGGCAGTAGACACATGAAGAGCAACAGGGTGGAAGAAGAATTAAAAGAACAGAAGTGAATTTAAAATTGAAATGTGGGTTTATACTTGTGCTTTAACTATCATGGTTGGAGTGGAAGCTGAAGGAAACTGAAAACATAAATTTTTCCCAGTAAATTTCTGCTAATTTGGAGAGAGCACACGGGAGGGGGGGGGGGAATTATCCTGGGTAACAAGGGGTTCTGGGGAAGGTTTCATGGCTTGTCTCAAGCCTATTTGAGTGGCAAGGTGTTCTGGAATTTGTAATCCAGAAGAACTGGTAGGAATTGTAAACAACTCAGCAGCAATATGTGCTGGGAAAGGGAAGGCAGGGATGTAAAATAGCTCAGGAAAGAGGTCAGATTTGATGTGGGGTCCTCTACAGAGTGAAAAACCTGGAGAGAGCAGCCATAGCTGCTGGTGAGCCCCTCCAGTGAGGGGATGCCAGGAGTATGGGTGGGAAGGAGGAGCAGATGGGAAGAGGCCTGCAGAAGAATAAGAACCCTAAGGAGGGGTAAGCTGCCCATTTGGGAAAAGGCTGCCAGTGACCCAGAAGTGTCAGTCCTGCACTGAGCTGAAGGTTTAGGTTTGTGCAAGGAAGCCCATGAATGAAACTACCTGGGGCAAAAGAGCTTGATGGTGGGATTGGGCAGTTGCTTTATTGTTTAGAGGCCCCAGGCTGGGACTTCTAGAGAAGGTGGGAGAAAAGCTTTGCCTTTCACTTGCTGCATGAAGGGATAAGATTGTTCAGGCCCTGAGGGAGGGACTGGAAACTACACCTCTACCTCGATATAATGCTGTCCTCGGGAGCCAAAAAATCTTACGCATTATAGGTGAAACCGCGTTATATCGAACTTGCTTTGATCTGCAAGCCCGGCTCCCCCAGAGCACTGCTTTACTGTGTTAGATCAGGTCGTGTTATATTGAGGTAGAGGTGTATGTGAAAAATGGCTAAGTGGAGCCAGTTTTTCTTGGACTTCTGTTGACTCTGGAAAAGGTAGAGTTTTCCTCACATAGCCAGAGGGTTAACCTACCCAATGAATGAAGGGAAACTGAGACATGGCTGCATCTGATGAAGGGAAGATAAGCCATTGACTGCATGCCCCCTCTGCCCTGAAACAAAACTGAGATTGAAACCCCATATTAGTCAGCTAGCGCTTCAGCTCATGAGGAAACTACTGTACATCCGGGGCTTGATCCATTCCTATTAGAGAAATATGGGACTTTTAGAGCTGAACTTCATTTCATTCTTTGGCAGCAGGTGGCAAGTCTGCTGATCTCTTCCTGCTGATAATGATATTCTCCTTGCTGATCAAAGAATGTATTAAATGCAGTTTAAAGTGAAGCAGTGAATATAAATAGTTGCCAGTGCCCTTTCATGAAAGAATTTGGCGTGGTCTAGGTAGTCTCCACTCACTTGGGAGGAGGTCTGGGACTACCAGCAGTGTTTGCATTGGGGCAAAATGATGGTGTGATCTAGCTATCTTCCTCCCTATTTCAACATTTGTTCCTTGTTTTTCAGCCAGCATCAGTGAAAACTGTGGGTATAGTAGGGTTTAGTAGTGGGGAGGTATGTTCTAATCCTCTCCATCCTTTGCCCCCCTTAAGTAGAGCTCTGAATTGCAAAGACATGGCAGGTCACTGTTAAGGAGGTGGAGTTTTTTTAGGAAGTTTGAACAGGACTGGGATGCATTAACTGTTTCTCCAGATGGTGCTATGTGTCCTTCATTTGTCCCAAAAGAAACTGGGTAGAATCTGTAGGGGCCTATTAGGAAAATTTATGAATCCTACATGCAGAATCCTCAGAAGTATGAAGTGTCCTAATTTTAACCAACCGTGAATGGTCATTGCTGTGAGTCTCCCATCAACAACAAGTTCTGAATTGAGCATAAAACCTAAGAGAGATACTCAGGAGCCGGGTGGAGAAGCGGAGTCTTCGTTTGTTCCACAGTCATGTTCAGAAATTTTGAGAGAATATCTCCTGGACAGGACATGTATATCACCCCAAGGAGTTTTGGACTCTAATTAAATGCATGGAATCCTGGCATCAGGTCCATTGTTATACCATATGAGTACCAGGCGGTCAAAAAAATTGCCATTATAAGGTTTTTTTATCAATAATAGGGTTTTCTGAAACCAAATTTTTTTGATTTTTTTTTGTATTATTGATGAAATTTCAATTTTTTTCACTTGAAATGAAAAATTAAGGAAAAATCAAAATTTAAGTTTTAATTTTGAAGTTGTGCTAAAATGTCCACCTTCTCCCTGCTTCCCTTCTCTCTTCCTTTTTCCCACTGGAAAAGGAAGGTAGGGGTGTGTGTGTGTGTGTGTGTGTGTGTGTGTGTGTGTGTGTGTGTGTGTGTGTGTGTGTGT